AAAAAAAAAAAAAAAAAAACTCTATATACGAAAACCAATACCAACACCACTTAGAACTGCTGTACACGAAAAATCATCAGAAGTGCAGCCGCTTGCAATGTACGGACGACATGTACCTAGGGCAATACGGGCACTTGAAGCTCTGAGTGTTTGTTTTCGACATCTTAAGAATCGATTGCTTGCACAGCACATGCCCGCACGTCAACATCATGGGCGGGTTCTCCTCACTCCCTTCCTCCCGGCTCACAGGACACACAAAAACCGAATGAAACTGGAATTCCCCACCCAGCTCGACCGGCACAGGCAGTTGCTTCAATCCCAGCCACTCCTGCTTTTTCACATCCATCACGCTCGCCAGCTTCAGAATAGTCGGCAGGCCTTCCACCCCGGCCCGCACGGCCACGTCCAGCGGGTCTCCCAAAGGCTGCCCTAGAAAACTCAGGAACATCCGAGTCAACTCACCTGCCAGCCTGTCCCAGCTAGCCGGGCTGGCCAGGTCAGCGTAGGGGGATTTGTCGAGCCTCCCGGCCCACAGCAGGCTCCCCATGACCTTCTGAACGTCCTTCATGTGGCGGGTCGCGAACGGGGCCACGTGGGCCCGGGCGTACTCGAGTGCATCTGTCCTGGTCAGGTTCTGCAGGATGTGGAAGAATCGGAGCTCGTGGAACTTTAGCTCGATTGTCGAACTGGAGTTACCCAATGATTCTCGGTTTGCCGAGGCCCAGCCGAGTGCGGGGCCCACATCCCTGCGCCTCAAGGCATCGAGCATCTGGTGGAGTTTTTGGAAATCAGGCCTCAGGGGGACGGGTTCGGGCCCGCCGGGTGCCTCCATGGCCATGCTGTCTGCGACGTCAAACAGGCCAGCCCGGTACAGGTGGGCGGTGATGACCTGGTTCATGGCATCAGGAGCGAAATCGACTTTTACTAATAACGCCTGAGATATGTCGGGGTGGAAAGTCTGCTCGAGCAACTTCTGGTGCTTGGCGAGGGTTGTGCTCGGCTCTTTCTGGACTTCCCCCAGGCTATCGAGTGAGGCCACAAATGCCTGGAGCTTCGTCCTGAGATCGACTAGGGTTTCCTTGAGATCGACGGGAATTGGAGGGTCATTGTCCGGTGCTATGCTTGCCAGAGCTTGTTCGATTTCACGCTTGAGTTGGTCGATCAGCTCCTCGGATTTGGATGACGAGAGCTTTTGCCTCTTTGCAGCCCTCTCGAATGAATCTTGTATGTCGTTGAGCTCCATGACTGCATGGTTACAGAAAGAAGTGTATCAGCAGAACAAGTGGTTTTAGAAAAATTAGTGCCGAGTCATATTCAGCAAATGTATTACTCTCAACCGGACAAAATGAGTAAATATTAAAGCTGGAAAAGCTCAAACAACTATGAGTATAGAGAAAACGAAGGAGATGAGAATCAATTTAAAGATTCACACATGAACAGGAGTGTGAATGTGAGTAGTCAATCCAAAAGTTTTAAGCACTTTATCTTCATACGACATGAATATATAAATTCTTAAAAACTGAGTATTACCGAAATAGATGACTGAATTTTATCACGCCTACTACAGTTGGTATAATTTCATCTATCTGAGTTCCTATCTAATGGTATAGCCAAAGAAAGTGCTAAAAGATCTAATGAAAGATGATTCTTTATACAGAGATATTTAGTTAGATTAATCGCACAGATTTTCTCCACAACTTTGGATATATAAACCTAACATGACAGGTGGATATTGATTTATTGCCAAGACAAGCTCTCACAGCAAACAAATTGGAAAGTGCAGACACTGAAACAATGTAAATGACTTCAATTGTTCCAAGACTTTTTCATCAATAACTAGACAGATTATCTCATTTTTATTCCAATTCCATTTCCATTTGCATAGTATTCTCGTGATGCTGTAACATGTACAGATTAATCCCCAAACTAGCTGACAGTTCGATTGCAGTTACTTTTGTTTTAAAGAGCCAAAGAAATTCATGAAACCTAAAGACTTTGGCCGATACCCCTTTTCTTAATGGCTAGAGTAGAGCATTAGTGTCGTTATAATACATAAAATCAAAGAACTACTCATACGTTATAGAAAGTGTTGCCATGCACTTTTGTTGGACTTACATATACATTAAGTTACCAAATACCGTGACCACAGCCCCACACCAAAACCCAGAAGCAAATGTTTACGTTAGAGATAGAAACTGGCAACAACAGTACATGGCAACAATCCCGTATTATAGCATTTGCCATCGCTCTTGCTGTATTAGGGTTCCAAACCTCCTTCCTCTTAGAGGAACATGTCGCAGCTGTGACTACTCTTTCTATTTGAATTGAATGTCAGCGAATCACTTGTTTCACTAATGTGACTAGTCTTGACTGCTGGTTTTTTCATTCCAAGCCAAAGGGAGGCGATTGGTACTACTGCGGTTACGAGAACCCAGTTCCAAAAAGCAGCATCGGGTCACGCATGTTCCGAAATCTATTACAAAGACTAATGCTCTAGTCTAGCCATAGTATGCACCATGTCTGATGTGTTCCAAATTGCCATTCTTTTGGAAACATCTATTTGCTACCTATTTTCATTGTTCAAACCCCATGTGACATGTAAAATCAACTAAGGAAAAGGATCACCTATTACTCACCAATAAAATCCAATAAACCATGAAGGCCAGCCCAATTCACGGAATTGCAATGCAAAAAACGTTGTAGATAAGAGCCATAGCATACGTGTCTGTTTATATGGTACAGTACAATTCCTCGGTCAGCAGAGTAAAAGCTAAAGAACACATAATCCACCAAAAAAATCATGATTACCAAACATGGTACAACATTCGAAATTAACCTAATAATGCGCTGCCCAGGACAGCTATGAATGGAACCAAAACTACACACAGAGATCATTAAAATGCTAATCATATCATATTTGTCAATATTATGATTGATCTTATGATGTTTCACTCATTATAACACACACTCAAAAATCTTTCACCCAAACCAAACTATGAAAAATAAAACCAAAAACAAATCCCACGACTAGCACAGGCGTCTACACTCAGTTAAATTAAATCGAAAAAAGTCCAAAAATCAAGAAAATAGAATATAATATCCAATCGAATCTCAAACGGACAGAGAAACATCGGTTTCGAGCGAAATCTATAAAAGCCGACCACTTAATTTTATTTGACATCGCAAGAACACACCAGGGGAAGGAAACCAATGAAGATGGAAAAATTACACCATAATTGAGCATCAAAATACGGACAAACCTCTGAAAACATTGAATCGAATGGGATAATAAACGCAAAATCTTAGAAACCTTAAAAATCGTACCGAATGATGAAGATGATGCAAAAAGCGGCAGTGGCTGGCAGCAAGAATTAGAGTTACCAAGCTAATTCGGCTTCTTTAAGTAGGACGCTGCCATGAAGTGTATTTCCAAAAATACCCCTACTGTAATTATTAATTAAACGCATAAAAGGAAGGGGAAATGTTATTACGGAATCATTCCGTCGGACTTTGTAACCGTTAGATCAACTATCCTCGACGGTTATATGATGATCTAACGGTTACAAACTCGACGGATTGATTCTTGTTGGGAATTTGGCCCAAAACTAAATCCCTATTTCAGGCCCAAGGATGCCCGGCCCAATCCCGACTGGGCCCGGCCCTCTTACACACACACAAGTGACAGATTAATTTGGACCCTTGGATTTAGGGATTAAATCCTAACCCTCCATTACACAATATATATATTCACTCTCCTCTCATTTACCCTAATACACTCATCTCACCTCTCTCTCTTACCTGCTGCGTGACAGAAAATCTCTCTCTCTCTCTGTGAGGAGAAAAACCGATCTATCTCTATCTCTCAATTTGTTCTCTGTGACTACCTTGTGAGAGCCACCGTGAGTGTCGTCGTGAGAGCCGTTGGAGTATAGCCGTTGTGCCGTCTTCGTCGCCTAGCTTCCCGTCGCCGGTTCAAGCCCTTGCGGGGTGCTTTCCGGCAAGCTCGTTCGTGGGAAGGCGAGGCTTTGCGACGGAGGACCGGGTGCGTGGCCGTGTGTGAGGTGCAGCCCGGGGATTGGGTCGAGGAACCGGGGCTGCCGTCCGTTGACCACCACCGAGCCAGACTTACCGAGGGTGCCGGAAAAGAAGGACGATCTGAGCCGGACTTCGTGTCCATCGTCTCCAATCGGCCGGATAAAAGGGGGATTTCTTTCTTCTCTTTTATTTCTTCTTTCCAACATTCTATACTTTGCATTTTCAGCATTTATTGTTGCTTACTGTACTAGGTTTATTGTTGTTAACCTATGTATTTTGATTGCTGGGGAATAGGTACAAATCGGGCTTGAAGTGGGCTTAAACGGAGCTGCAAAGAGCTGCTGAGAACCAGCCCAGGAGTTCGGACAGCATACTGGGAGTCCCAGTAGTACGAGCAGCACCCGAGCAAGGACCGTGAAAGCTGCATTGCGGTCAGAGAGCAAGGATACGAGCGTCTGCTGCGTACGAGTCTATCGGTGTGATCGGGACGGCCACATAACAGTGGTATCAGAGCCGTCCCGCCACCGCAGGTAAGTCGAGCACCTACGTGTTAGGGCTCGCTCTGGTATTGGCTCTAACTCATCTATTTACCGCTTTCTTATTATTGTAGACCCTGGACGGGGATTGCGTCCAGGGAATAGGATTATTGTAGCCTCTGGACGGGGATTGCGTCCAGAGAATAGGATTGCGTGTTGGGAAACTAGTTGCTAGATCATTAGGTTAGATATGCATGCTATGTGTTAAATGTGCTTATCTTTGTTGATCTATTGTGGCTATTTTTCTGTGTTTCGAGCATTAAGTTTTGTATTTTCTGTTGTCTTGTGCTAATTTCAGTGAAATTTGCTTCGTGTTAAATTTCTGTTATTTTTTTGAGTCTTTGTGCCTCATTTGTTGTTGTTCATTAAGCTGAAAATTGCTTGTTAAATTGCTGAAAATTAATTGGTGCTGAAAACTACCTGTTTATCGAGCTGAATATTAATTTGTGCTGATTTCTGTGCGATTTTAAGTGCTAAAAAATCTGATTTTGGGCTGAAAACTGAGTGTGTTAATTGCTGAACTTTGTGCTAGTATTTTCTGTGAAATCTGCTGTGTTTTCTGTGAAAATGGCTTCGTTTCCAGCTTTTAATGTGGCCCCGTTTGACGGGAAATCTGATTTTTCAATTTGGCAACAAAAAATGAAAGGGATTTTAATTCAGCAGAGGGTGTTTAAAGCCGTTGAAGGCTCGTTTCCACCCGATGAACCTTCTGATAAAATTGCTGAAATGGATCAATTTGCTTACTCGTCAATTATCTTGAACTTGTATGACTCTGTGCTTAGGAAAGTTGGTAAACTTGATTCTGCTAAAGATTTGTGGGAAAAATTAGAAGAATTATATACTGAAACTTCGTTGTCGAGTAAATTGTTCTTGCTTGAAAAATTTTTCCGATTTAAACTTGATCTTTCGAAAGATATTGATGAGAATCTTGATGTGTTTACTAAACTTGTTCAGGATATTAAATTGACCGGTGATAAGGATATTGATGATTATACTTCTATTGTGCTCTTAAATGCTATTCCTAATTTATACAGTGATGTCAAATCTGCTATTAAGTATGGTAGGGATAATGTGACTCTTGACACTGTTGTGAATGGATTAAAGAGTAAAGAATTAGATTTAAAAGCTCATAAGGGGAGTAAAAATTCGGGTGAGGTTCATTTTGATAGAGGTCGACAACAAAATAGATTTCAAAACCAAAAATCTTCTAATAATAATGGTAACCAACCTGAAAAGAAAAAAGGTAAAGGAAAAAGTCGTTCTAAATCCCGTCCGAAAAATCGTAAGTGTTACAATTGTGGTGATATTGGACATTATGCTAAAGAGTGCACTAAACCTAAAAAGAATCAAGCTAATGTGGCCTCGTGTAGTGATAAACTTGGTGATGTGTTTGTGGTGACTGAAATATGTGATATGCATGCTAATGTGAATTCTATGCATTCTTATCTTTGTGAAAATGAATGGCTTGTTGATTCCGGTTGCACTTTTCACATGTCTCCATATAGAAATCTGTTTTCAAACTACAAAGAGGTTAAAAATGGCTCTGTTTCTATGGAAAATGAAAAACTTTGTGATGTTGCTGGTATTGGTGATGTGTGCCTTAAGTTTAACTCCGGTTATGTGCTTTGTTTGAAAAATGTTCGTCATGTTCCTGACTTATGCCATAACTTGA